CTTTTTCTCCTGAGTCGTTTCCTAACACGGCCTGAGCTGCAGGCAGGGAGGAGCCGGGCCCACTGGCCTCCGAACAAACGCAGGACCGAGGGGCTCTTGTGTTTCTTCTTTCCACCCTCCCCCTGAACTCCATCCGACCAAGTGCTCTTTTCAGGTCCACATGAAGGGAGGGAGGGTCTTGCTGAAATCGCTGCTCTGGAGGGGAGCCCCACGGGCCAGGGATTCTGGACAGAGGTGGCGGGTGGCGGAGCGTAGGTTTCCCTTGCCTCCCTTTTTCTTGCCATTTCTACTCTTTTCTTCTCTTTGGAGATTCTCAACACCAGCCTCCTCCCCCCGTGAAGCCCAAGGCCCCAGAAATGCCTGGCTGGCCACCTGCCACGCCTGGAGTTGCCATAAACTTTGTGCCAACCTTACCTGGAGATGCCCTTTGGTGAGGGAGATGCGTGGGAAGCTCATGGGGCACCCGTGGTTGCCGAGGGGCTCAGTTTCCTCGTGGATCCATGCGCAGCGCTGGCCAGATCGGAAGTGGGGGGCACTTGCATGCCCCACCCCTCAGCAACTTCCCAAAAGGCGAAAAATCTTTCTTCACAAATCCATTGCTTGCAAATGGTGTCAAACATACCTCCCTTCTGCCCGGCCACCTCTCCAGGAGTCTCTGTTTGCCCACCTGTCATGCTTTTTCCATCGTCTCCCTTTTCCCTCCGCCCCCCTCTCTCGGGGGTGGGGAGTGGTTCCCTTCAGCAGCCTGGACAGTGACTGGGGCCCCCCTCCTGGCGCCCCGCTGGCTGAGCGTTGGCTGCCCACTGCTGGGCGGTTGTAGGATCCTTGGCCCACCCCCTTGGCGCTTCTGGGAGCCTCCTGCACTGCGTCCGGAGGTTGGGCTCTGCTTGATAACAGCTGCAAAGTGGTTGATCAGTTCTCAGTGGCCCATTTGGAGATTTAATTCCTCCAGGAGCTGCTTCGGTTGACTTCTGTTGCTCACGTTTCATAGCCACGTTGATGTAGGGGCTTTCTTGTGTGTTCGGGCCCCGACTTCCTTTCTTGGTTGCTGCTTTCTCTGTCTTTCTGAAGGTGGGAAGGCCCCTGGGTACCATCTCGGGCAGTAGGACACGACCCATTCTGTTGAGGGAGTGTATCGGGACTCACCACGCACAACTCTCGGCTCTGAATTAGTCCCGGCTTAGCCCAAGTTTACCCAACAGGGAAGAAAAGCACTTGAAAACAAGATTGACCTGGAGACCTTTTACCTAACCCGCCTCCCCCACCTCGATTGGAAAGAAAAGTCCTGTTAATTCCTTGGTGACTGAGACATACAAAGCCCACCCCTTTAAATGGCCTGGAGGAAGCCCCGCACATCACATCCTGCTTGGCCTTTTATTTCCTGCGGCCCCATCTCTCCACCGCAGAGCAGACAGTCACAGCGGGTCAGGAGCGACCCCCGCAGAGCAGGCTCCCCCTCCCGCCCCCAGCCTGGGTCCTGCTGAGGTCAGTGCAGGGAGGGGAGAGAGACTGGGGCTCAGCCTGTGCAGGTGGCTGGGCCTGTGGGTTATGTGCTCTTTCTAAACCGGGGTTGCTCCTTGGGGGAAAGCAGGGGTTTGTATGCTAGTTTCTCGAGTGAGCGAGTTTCTCTGGAAATCTGTCTCCTTTTAGACCAACGGAATATGCCTTAACCATCTGTATGCAATCAAGTCACCTACTCTCCTCTCACCTTCCTCCCCTGGCCCTCGGCTCTCCTTAAATGAGAGTCTCGCACAGAAAGCAAATTGCAATGGATCCACAATCCCCCCCACGTTTTTCCCTCCCTCCTTCCTCTCCTTCTGTCCCCCCCTTCCTCCCTCCCTCTCTCCACACACGCCCTGTGCACGTCAGCGTTTTGACATGATCTCTTGATGAGTCTGTAGCTTCCCCTCCAGTGGAGCCCCTGCCTCAGGGTCTCTTGCCTAAGGAAGCAGAGGCCTCTGGCCTGTGAACTTCCCAGCGCAGCCTCAGACGTCAGCATTGTGGAGAAATGACTCGGTGCCGCCAGAGAAATCCTGGTGCGGGGGAGACCTCGGTGTTTGCGAAGCTGGGAATTTTGAGTCATGCTGACCTGACACTGACAGCCTCCGGTTGTCTAGGATTTGAGGAAAGGACAGTCAGATGGGGATGTTTTCCAGGGAACAAACCAAGTCATATGCTCTCGGACAGATGTGTTTCCTTTTGTGCACCCCGGGAATTGAGGCCAACTCCGGGTATCGCGAAGGAGCGGGAACCGAAATAGGCACGGGCCTGAGATCCTAAACCTTAGAGGCTGTGCGAGGGATTTAGAAAAAGCCTCAGCGTGGTTTCCTAAAGGAGACCCCAGCGGCGCCCACCCGGTGCTGACAGCTGCCTGGCCCATTTGCGATTTTACATTTTCCACCAGGGCGCCCAGGTTGCCCCCGGAGCTGGGCGTAACTGCAAAGCTAAACCCCACAGGTGTGCGGTCAGATCACCTGCCGAACTAAACGTTCTCCTAAAGCGACTCGGGCCCCTGTGGAAGACGGTGTCCACCCGAGGAGAGGGCTCAGGCCTGCCTCTCCCTCACCAGTGTCTGTGTCTTCCCCTCAGTCCCTGTGGCCGTCCCACAAAGCCCTGTCCCTTAATGCAGGAAGCTAGATGACTGTTGCCTTTCTGTCAACTAGCATTTTGGGGTGAGCCTGAGGGGAGATGGGGAGGCAGGAGGAAAGCTCTCCAATGGGAAATACCATCCCCCCACATTGACGCAGTGGCCAGTTGCTTTGGTGATGGAGAACCTCTCTCCCTCTGTGCCTTTCCTCTCCCACCACGTGTTCAAATGAGAAAGCAGAAGTCCCAGGGCACCTCGATCAGTAACTAGGCAGAGGGAGCCACTTGAAGCAGGCGGGACCCGCTCACTGGACACCGGGAAGAAGATCCACCTTGGGCTCCATCCCCTCAGGGAGTGATGCATTCAGGCTCCGTGCCGAGAAGCTGCTCGGAGTCTGCTTGTTGGAACTGTGGGCAGGCCGAGGCTCCGGACATGGAGAGCCAGTAGGAATGAGTGTGCCCAGTCTTAGCCAGTCTGTATCTCCGTTTGCCCCCATCACCCCTCTAGAAATGTCTTTCTTTTGCCTGGGTTGGTCCCTGCAGGGAGTGGGGCAGAAAGCCAGGTCCAGAAGGTCAGCCTGAGGTGTCTGGCAAGGTCACCCCTGAACCTCTGTCCCCTGCCCTCCCAGAATCTCCTTAAATAGCTACCCTTGTAGCTGGTGCCGCTAACATCTTCCTCAAATCCGATGGGCACTTTTCTGACAATCTCTGCTGGCATCACGCCTGCTCAGAAATATCACGCCATTGTCTAAAGAAGAATTGGAGCTTTTTAACAATCTCATTCCACATAGCCTTATGGATCCTGTAAATAGGGGCTCACAAAAGTAATATATTGTGTTACGGGAGATATTTTGTACTGTGCTGTTTCCTAAATCCTACCAATCCTCTAGAGGTCACGTACTTCCCACATGATGTTGACCCTCAAAATGCTTTGTAAGATGGGGGAGTGGAAACATATATACATAGACTATATATTTTCCTAGCCTTTCTTCCGGGTCCCTTCGTCAGAGAGCTGAGTCACAACAGAGAAGGAACCTGGGTCCGGTGTGTAGGGAAGTTAAGCCTCCTGCCTGCTGGCATTCTTGCAATTGCCTTAGAATTCACAAGCCCTGGGAGTTCTGCACGAAGGCGGACGAGAGGCACTTTACCCAAGCCCAGAGAGAACCTCGGATCATGTGACTGAGAATTCACCTAGAAAAAATCCTATATTTTTAACGTCGAAACCGCGGGCCTCCCTGGACCTCACCGAGTATTGGATGTTGACAAATGCTTTTATATTTTGTAACTGTAAAGAGGTTTCCTACGCACATCAGGAGCAGTTGGGAATCTAGCCAACTGCCCTAAAACTGGATGACCTTTGCATGTACAGAGATGTTGCGTTCAGACTATGAAAACAGCAAATAAAGCTTTGATGCAAGTTGCACTGGAGAAGTTGGTGTGTCGGTGCGCGAATGAATGGCCTCTCCCTTGCACTGCCGAGCTGGGGGCCAGGAGCGGGAGGGGTGGCTGGGTCCTGGAGAGGGGGCCTGTGGACACAAAGCAGGCTTTCCATTCAGCCCGGAGCTGATCTTCCTCCCACCTCCTGGCTGTGCGACAACCCTGAGCCTCGGCTCTCTAAACTGGGGGTGGTGTTGGCAACATCAGTGGGCCGGAGTTTAAGGCAGTGGTTCTCCTGGGGGGCATGGTGCCAGACGACACCTAGCATTGACGGAGACATTTCTGGTTATCAGAAGGAGGGGAGGGAAAGCTACCGGCACCTAGTGGGTGGAGGCCAGGGGTGCTGCTCAGTGTGCTGCGGTGCACAGGACAGCCCCCCCGCAAAGAATGATGCCGCCCCAAATGTCAATAGTGCTGAGGCTGAGAACTCCAGGCTAAGGAAATGTGGCAGGTGACAGTTCCAGGCGCGTAGTAGGTCCTCGGGATCCTGAAGGATCTGATGGGAGGGGGTCATGTCCCCACCTCTGTCTGCCCCTTACATCCCTAGCAGATGGTGACTGCATCCCAAGTTCAGGGGTAGAAACCAACTCTGCTTTCCATGTATAGATATCTGTGAAAAAGCCAGAGCAGATGTTCCCCAAGGACCTCCTGTAGAGACGGTTTGTGCCTCTAGGCTGGCGGCGGGGAGGCGGCCGCACCCTCCTTTGCCTTTACAGCGCCCTCCTCTCTGGACCCGGGCAGGCGAAGGTCAACCCAAGGTCGCAAACTGCCGACGTGTCTGTCCTGCACAGGCTTTTAAAAGTGGGGATATTTCCCGTGAAG